GGACGTATTCAGGCGCTTGTTGATGCGGCTCGAGAACATGGTCTTCAATTCTAGTTTCAATCTTCTTGTCTTCTTATTCTTGTATCTTTTATGTTTGAATCCTTCCTTCTCCCAAGAAGTTGAAATATGCCCAAGTTGCATATATTTGTTAGTATTAAAATGATTGATCTAAGATTTATGCACTCTTTCTATAGTTAGATTGTATGTAATCGAAAATTAAATTGTATGAATTGAATATTTTAAAATGTATGAATTCATATTTTAAATCGTATGAATTGCTACTTTTATTCACAGATTTATGTATTATTATTTTCAGGTTTTTTAAAAATAAATACTGGATTTATGTATTTTTAAAAAAATTATTTTTTAATTTTTTACAAATTAGCGATGGATTAGCGAGGGAAAATCCGTCGCTGAAAGTGYTTGAATTTCCCTCGCAAATCCGTCGCTGAAAGTTTCCTCGCAAATCCGTCGCTGAAATTTCCCTCGCAAATCCGTCGCTGAAAGTTCCCTCGCAAATCCGTCGCTGAAAGTTCCCTCGCAAATCCGTCGCTGAAAGTACCCTCGCAAATCCGTCGCTGATCCGTCGCTGAAAGTGTCCGTCGCAAATCCGTCGCTGATTTCCGTTGCTGATCCGTCGCTGATAGCATTACCTACGACTGTTTGACCGACGGAGTATCAGCGATGGATCAGCGACGGAAAGCCCTTTCAGCGACGGAATTTTCCCTCGCTGATACTCTGCATTTTTGTAGTGATATATATATATATATATATATATATATATATATATATGTAGATGTGGTCATATGGTTCTTAAATTAACAAAAATAAATTAACAAAAATAATGAGATTTTTTGATTTTGTAACTCCTAATTAATGATATGCGAGTTACATAATTTTTTTACCTAAATACCCTTTTCCCCTTTGTTTACATATGTTTTTTTAAATTGTAAATTTAAAAATTTAATTTTGTATCATGATTAATCACAAACGTTTATTGTAAGAATCAATGGTCAAGATTGGTTAACAAAGGTAACACAATAATCTTGGTTAACATTTGAACCAACCCATATATATATATGTATGTAGAGAGAGAGAGGTGAGTTATTATCTAACTCTTTATATTTGTACAACCAATACAACTCAATCTCAACCGTCCATTTAATTTGATAAATATATGATTTTATAAAAGTTTTGATTATTTCCTAATATAAAACATTGATCATAATCAATGAATCATAGTCATTTTCATAAATATTTAAATCATATAAATGAACTCTCATCGTTTTTATAAATATCTCAATTGATTGAGTTCTACAAATGTAATGGGTTATATATATATCAATCAATATAAATCATACGTTTATAATCTGATACTTACTACATCATCTTATCCATATTGAGGTTACAAAATATACTTATTTAGAATCATATATGGTTGTCCATATATGAAACTCGATTGTCTACTAGCATGCAAGCTCAAATCCACAAAAGTTAAAAGGCCTAGACAAGTGAGCGAGAACCAGAATGTTGATGTCGAGAACGAGGTTCGTAAGGCGAAGCTGTAGGTTTGGCCTCACCGTCATACCACAAACAACCCACCCTCATCATCTGCTTGAACGCCCGATAAACAGCCCCAACCAGTTGTCTATATAATCGAACATATGCGAATATGAAAATAACCACCGGGAAGAATGAAACGCTGTACAACGTGATATCTGTCCATTTCCTCCCGCTGCTGATGGTCAAAATAAGCGTTGCAGCAAACGCCACCATCATCATTGCCACCGAAATGATCAGCAGCGTAAGTCCTAAATACAGCTTTTGGAAAAGAGATTTCTCGAAATCCTTAAAATGAAACGATGATGTGACGATATTGAGAAATATGATCACCGATGTTAAACTTGATGAGAGCGAGATTGCATCAGCTATGGTGAAGATGAGAAACAAAGGTTGGTTTTTAAGTACCGGATGGCCCGTTCTGGAATCTGGACCTCCTGGTACAGTATAGGCTGCAGCAAAGGCAACGGTGGCAATGAGCACAGCAACGATTGAGCAGTTTTTCGCAGTTTCACTCATCCATTCTTTGGCATCCGACCGAAGTTTATTATTGTTTTCGAAGAACACCTTTTCTGCTGTCTTCCCTTGCAAGTTCAGCCTCATGGTGTCATAGGCTGTGCAAGATTCTTTCACTCTCTACATAATACATGACAAAATGTCTTTTACATTCAAGAGTTAACAGCAAACAGAAATTCTTGCAACATAAAGGCTACGTTTATATGCTTTTGGACGTCTTAACAAGTTTTTTTACGACATTTTTAATGCAAAGTACCCCATGAGTTGGTTTATAGTATCCTATAAACCCATCTTTGTATAGGACACTTGTTTTTATACGACACTTTTTTTCAAAGTGTGTCCTATAAAATAGTTAATGCGACACTTTATATTAAAAAAAGATATAAAAATGAGCTAATTTTATGGTTGTCCAATATGAACCAAGTTTTTTTAGAAAGGGATAATTAACTAATTACCTCAAATAGAAGTGCATCCTCTTGGAGTACAATTGCAGGACCTTTTAGGTCTTCTGAAGGACTATCTACCTTTTCACCTACTAAATGGAGCAAGGTGTTCCCATAGTTGTCAATTCTTCTTTTCACTCTTTGCTTTTGAATCTTCATGTTGTCTACGAGATCAAGAATTTCAATACGTCGATGCAAGATCGCCAAACTTAAAAGGTTACGACCATCTTGATCGATATGCTCGATTGCCTGAGGGTACACTTTCAGTATTTCCGAGACGATCTCTTTACAACCATGGATGGTTGCTAATAACAGTGGAGTGTCAGGTTTACGTGCATCACCCAGTTCATTTTCAGCTTTGGACTTATTCCTTCCATATAAATGAACGGTCGATCTTACCCTCTTTATCCATGATTCAGTCGTTTCCCAAGACGTATCGGCTTTTACCAATAGCTTAACAAGCTTCATTGCCCATTCATATCGATGCTTTTCTTTTTGCATTCTTCGTAACCATGGTAACGATCTGCTCGTATCTTCGAAATCTGGACTGATTACTAGCACCAAAAGAGTCACACGATAGATGAGTTTTTATCGCTATAAATACTATAAGTGTCGATTATCAAATGAATATGCTTGTTTTTTTGGTAAAGAAGGCATTCACATATGAATTCCAAAAGCCAAATATATATTAGACTTATTTTTGGCACCTAAGAGAAGAATATAAAATCACCTCTCTCAATCCTTTTCCCAATGATAAACTCCTCACTCATCATAATTTTTTAATATACATTTATTTAATTCATATATTTTCCCTCTGGTAAAAAGCTGATGTGTGATGCAACGTATACGAATGAAAATTACAAATCATTACGTTGATTCTGTGAATATATGTGGATAACCTCTTACAGGATTAGTTGATTCGACGAATACCAAATCCTAAGCTTCAAAAGTCGAATTCACAAGAACTCAAAATTTGGGAAGAAAAAATCAAAGTCTGTCAAATTCAAGTGTGACCATCTAGTTTTCATAAGAAGCATAGAAGGCCCAAAACAAAACGCGCCTGAAAACGATTATGGGCCAAATAAAAAAAGCCCAACAAAAATGTCTAAAAATCATGCTTAAACAACGTTTTTGGGGTTCAAAAGTCTTTAAGGTAGCCCATCATGGGCCTCCAAGAACATATCAAAAGAGTCCTATCAACTTTTTGTAATACTTTCACGTAATAATTATTTGGTCATATAAAATAGTCTGTTATATCGCTTAGACATATCTGATGTCTAACTGTACTAGAACATTGGACATATTTAAAATCCAACAAAACTGATTTTTTATAGTGTTGTCGAAGGTTGATTGAAGGATAGAGATGAAACAGAAAGTTTCGAGATGGGCTAGGCTAATTGCATCCCGCTATATTGTTAAATGCACACCTATCTAATGATTTTCTTTTCATACACATTACTATCAAAACCCATTTTTTATATTTCTAATGTATGAGTCGACCTGATTTTGATATTAATGGGTGCAAATTATTTGTATTCCCAAGAGAATGATGGAGCTATAAATTGGGTAGAAGTGTAGTGTTAGCATCAATACTATTATACTGTTATACTATATATACCCTTGTATATCATGCGCATGAAGAAGCTTTTTGGACTAAATATTGGTGGACTGCATGAAAGAAGTTGAAGAGGTGTCATCTCATCTCCATCCTTCTCATGAATCAGATGTTCATGTTTCACTGCAATCTCATGAGCTATCCCTGCAAGCAAAACACATGCAAATTTATGTTAGAAAGATCACATATACATATACATATACATATACATATACATATACATATACATATACATATACATATACATATACATATACATATACATATACATACACATATACTTACAGTAGTTTCTACTAAGGATAGCTCTATGGAGAATGGTAGATTTATCATCCCTTTGAAGAAAAGTTTTCAATTCTGGTCCTTGAGTTGTTCTACAGACTTCACCATGAAGAAACTTGAAGATTTTCGTCTTCCCATTCACAGCCGCAGTGAACAAAGCCGTCTCTCCGAGTCTGTTGGTCATGCTGAGCAGCRTAGGAGCCCTGCGTAACATCTCGGCTGCAGCCGCAACGGTCTTGTTGCTGATCCCAGTCTCATGGAGCATGGTGTGTCCACCAGTATTTTGAAAAGTGAGCTTGTGGGAATCGCACATAGGCACCATATCAAGGAGGCGTAGGGCTAGATCATTGTTCTTGAGGTTCGTAGCTAAACTGAGGACTGTGTCATCATGAACTGTGGGTGTATGCAAAGGACCCTTTGGAATGATTGCACATATATCTATAACTTTGGCGTCCATTCCATATGTCACAGCTTCATACAGTTCTGAACTAAYCCTYAAGTCCTCAGCTTYCGTGAGAGCCATTAATATTGCAGGCAGAAGAAAGGGAGAGAGAGTTCAGATTTATAGACAAAAAAGATCACCTCTTTATCTCATTCTTGTTCCCTTCCTTTTTCTTCCTATTAAATTTTGAAATGCTTCTCATGCGGAAAGAAGGCAAGGTCCGGAAGTCTTACTTAGTAAGTGATGGTGAATACTCTTACCACGGTTAGCGCTTATCATGTTAATTGTTGCATATGATGTTGTTGGTGAACTAAAATCTTATCCAATAAGTAAGTGATAGTGTTGAATTTTACTGACAAGAATTTATCGAATAAGTGTTTGGTAAACGGCGCCAAAGCTAAGGGCTAATGTGCACTACAATAAATTCATGCTTAGAGGACATCAAAAGTGTTTAGTTATACGTCATAATAGAATATTTTATACGATTTAAGTTTATAAGACCAAATATTTTTATGTGGTATATAAGATAGTAAGTTTATACCATGCTTTTGGATGCTTTATTAAGCATTATTTTAGGACACTTTTGAAACAAAGTGTCATTTAATTCACCAGTAATTTGAGAAAAATGTTTTATACACATCTTATTATACCACCATTGTTTTATAAGATACTTTTAAATAGTGTCATTGAAAAAAAAAATATTTTCTCTATTTTAGAGAATCTGTTGGAGATGCTCTAACAATAGAGGTGAAAAGATGATTGATCGACGTCTTATATTGGATGGACGTAAAGAAATAGACGAGGGTGGATTTAGTAATGACTATAGAAAATCACGTGTTTTAGGTCGTGTAAGGCATCCTAAACATGGGAGGATTCATAATAGCTTAGGCGATATCGAAATCCCTGCTCTATCGTCACAACACAATGGAAAAAAAAATATAACGAGTCTTAAAGTGTATCCACTTTAATCTGATGTGTCATCTCAAAGTTAAGTTAATAAATGTAATTATAGCTTATTGACAGTGTCAATACATGTGACATTATAAGTTGCAAATTTGAATCTCTTATACTTCGTTTTTTTATTTTCTGGTGACGTAGGTACTTTTTAGAATTAGTTTTTATTTTTTTACGTTATTGTATTCCTGCTAGGAAGTTTTTCTACATCCGCCTACGCTGAAAGAGTGTTTAATGGGACATCTGAATGTTCATAGGAGCAAAACCAACATGTTGTCTTTAACTACAACTGCAGTAAGTCGTTAAATTTAGACAACCTAACAAGTTCTATTAGCGAAGTTAGACAATATCTAATGGGACACACACAAAAACATATCATCCTTTGACCTTTTTATAGGTCACTTTTGAAAAATGTTCTATTAGTGTTTAATTTATAGGACGTTTTTCAAAAGTGTCACGTAAAACGATTAATACATGAACGTTTATTTCATGTGTCTGATTAGGTTGCCCATTTCGAAGATCGAATTTGTTATGTCGTATAATATCGTCTTAACAAATTATTGTAAGATTATGACACCCGTTTTTTGTTCTATCAAATCTAATTAAGTATTGTATTAGGATATATGGTTGTATGTTGGTGAAATCCTTTAGAATGATAGTGGTTGTAATGGAAGATTAGGCACTGGAAAGCACTTCTTTATTGTAACAAAATGCTTTATGATGGACTAAATGCCTTCTTTAAAGTACAGAATCAGAAACGACTTATTGAGTAAGATAATAAATGGCATCAGATGTTATAAATGGATAAGCCATTTCCAGATTGATTGCTTACAGATGATAATGAAATTACACCTATGATGGAGCCCAACATCATATCCTGTGGAGCATTCACACTTCATAAAGATGAAAGGCCAATGCCCCAAGCATATTTTCATGTAAGAAAAGGATGAGCACAATGCTAAATTCATGGACTCGTGGGATTAGTTGATGTACGTGTAAAATGATCAGTAATTCACGGTTAAAAAAGTAAGTTTTAAAGTATTTATACTTAGTATGTTAGTTAAGCTACATATTCGAGTTAGATGATATGATAGAATTTAGAATACGTATTTAGTTCACTAAAAAAATGAAGAGTATCAACGAGGAAAAAATCTCTCGTTGATCCGTCGCTAAAGGCTTCCTTCGTCGTTGATCCTTCGCTGATCGTCCGTACGTCAAAAGCTCATAGGTAATGCTCTAAGTGACGGATCAGCGAGGGAAACTTTTAGCGACGGATCAGTGAAGGGTTTTTCAGCGACAAATTAGCCAGGGATTTTTAGCGACGGATTTTTACCTCGCTAATCTGTCGCTAATTTTTATTAATTTAAAAATAAATTATTTATAATTACATAATTCCTATATTTATTAATACAAACCCTGGCCATGAAATACAAACCAAAACTGTGAACAAATTAAAACTAACCAATTCAGACAATTCAAAATATCAAATTCATACAATCTAACTACCGGGAGGTGGGGGAGCGGAGAAAATGTATCCCGACTGTCGCATAAATGCAGCAAAATGCTCCGATAAGACGACCTGTTCGGCTAATGCAGCAGCGTGTCTGTCTTGTTCAGCCTCCAAATCTGCCCTACTTTTCCATTCGGCCTACATCTCGGTCTGATGGCGTTCCTCCCACAGCACCTGATGGCGTTCCTCAGCGAGGGAACTGGTTTTTGGTCAATCCCTCGCTGATCTGGGAGGTTTTTTTGGGTCGCTGATACTTTATTTTCTAGTAGTGGTTTACATATATACTTTCGGAGGTTTTATGTTCGTTTGTATTTTTTGGAATAACTTGGCACTTTCCGAGGTTCCCAATTAGGTACTAGGATCGTTTGTTCCAGTCATTAAAAAATAACCTATCACATTAGGACGATATGCTAAAACGTACACACACGATATTGTTGATTATGATTCTAGTTTTGTTAGTAGTTGGTCAAAAAGGAAGGAATCAGCATAAGATTTTGCAGTAATTTGAACAATATTAGTGTTGGGCATCCTATTCTTTTGGAAGACAGTGAGGACTTGGAATATCAAAAAGAAATTACATGCCCTTTATTATATATATTTATTCAGCTTATATATGCTTATCCAAAAAGTATCATTTGTTAAGCCACAAACTATTTTATAAGCCATTTTAGCAATGTATATTAGAAAACAATATCATATATAATATTTTAATAACCTTTATGGATTTCTTTTGTACTCTTTTTCAATTATATCTCTTGTATTTTACGAAAACAATTAAAAATCTCATTTTAACACATTTTACGGTTCTCATATATATCATGAACTAAAAACTATTAAACAACGTAATATAGGCTGAATTTTCTTCTTCAGACAAATCGATTCAAGGAAATTCCTATTTTATGGAAATCACCAAACCAATCCTTTTAGTGAATTGATGTGAACAGAAAAACCAAAAAGCAAAGTTATTGATTAAGTATTGAAATGTTTTCAATCGAAAACAATTCAACCTCATCAATGCATTCAATGAAAAACCTAGAACATGAACATAAATGATGTACATAATTAAATCCCGAAAAGTTTAGGCTACACACACGGTTATAGATAACCTCCAAGACAATAATGCCGATACCCTTTCAAACGACTTTTATTTAAACAGTTTTATATTAGAATATGTGGGTGACTAGGATCATTTGTCACCTTCTTGTAAATTGGTCACCTTCTCGCACGATCCTCTCTCCCTCCTTCCATCCCTCTCTTTCTCTCTCTCTCTCTCTCTCTCTCTCTATATATATATATATATATATATATATATATATATATATAGGCGAATGATCGTATGAGAAAGATAGTTAAGATGAGAAGCGTAAGAAGAGATCTGGACCATTGATCATCTTTAATCTCAAACCCACACATGAACCACGTTTGATAGGGAGATTGATATGATGCATCTCATCTCAGTCATCTCATCCAAATATACATACAAGGGTAGAGATCTTTTCTTACACTTCTCATTTTTATTCTTCTTCTCACAGGAACCCAACCCTACTTATTCTTCTCACCTTAACTCTTCTTCTCACCGGAACCCAACCCTATTCTTCTTACCTTAACTCTCCTTCCACCAAGATGCACCACATCAATCACCGTATCAAACACAATTCATGGTGAATTTGAGATTAAAGGTGATCAAGGGTCCATATCCCTTCTAACTCTTCTCACCTTAACTCTCCTTCTCACATGATCTTTCGCCTATATATATTGTTGGTCCCAAACGGATCTAAAAGAGTTTTAAAGATAACAGTTTGTAGAAGAGGGGATGAATACAAACACACAATTTTTACATTTTAAATTCGTTTATTGATAAAAGAATATTAATATGAAATTTACAAATTGTTGTGGAAGAAGATAAGGTTAAGACCTAATCTAAACAATCTTAGAAACACACAATTTGCACAGAAGATAGTAGCAAGAGAGAAGAGAGTTAGAAAGAGAAAAGGGGGTTGCTGAGAAGAGGAGTCTTCTCAACCATTTATACCATTGCATTTAATGCAAGTTAGAGGGTACAAGCCACGTGGAAAACTTTTAATGGAGAGCTTTTCCTTTGTCATTGGATATGTAGGCTTTTGACTGCATATAAACAATTGACTTTCACAAAGTTGGTAAGCACATTTGGAGACAATGAAGTAACTCCATATGTTCACTTTTATGTGTAAGGTATGAGGTTGTCCTTTTTGTGTAGAAAGATAAGAAATAAAAAACTAAGCTTGTAAAACAAGATTCATTTGATCCTTGACACTAATTCATCTCTAAAGGTTCTTCAGTATTCGCTGAGTCTTAGTAAGATTTCACACTTTGATTTAGACATTCTTGTTATTAAATCCACTTCTAATCATGAACTGTTATGTTTCTATCTTCAGCTACTTCTTCGACGTCGTTGAAGGTTCATTTGGTGTGAGTTTTGTCTTCGAGGAATACTTGTTCTCTAAGAAGTTTATAATATATGTTCAGTGATTACTGAACGAACTCAGAGATGATCACTGAAACTGAATAGAATAGACCAAGCATATTTCACTAAGTATGGAGTCATCATCAAATCACTGAGAGAGTTTGGATCAACATA